TGTTTATTATATTTACAAATAACGAAACATAATGTTCCAAGATGAATATCTATAGCTAACGGAGCTCTTCATGTTTTGTATATATCTAAGGAAACGTTTTTTCCTTCACGTTCCTCAGTCGAAAATAGGGCTTTAATCTAATGGGTTGAAGTTTCTGTGGCAGTGTTTACTTTATGGGATGGGGTTGCTAGCTGCATGCGCAAACTTTCCCCTTTGCCAGCATTATTTCTGGCTTACCGAGGTAAAGGAGTACGTCGGCCAGGGATCGAACTCCGGACTATGTGCATGGTCCGCGAGTGTCTCAACCGCTATGCCACCGACGCCAAGTAAATACAGTCGACACAAATTACATTTACATATGTTCAAAATTTGTCGTTGACATCTGTCGACATATTTGTCCATCTTTTTGTTGGTTTGAATAACAGCAAAAATCACGGGTAAAATTTGTGGCTCTTGTCGTAATACTTACAGTATGCAGCTCAACAGTTGGTTTTATATCAGTGAGGTACATAAATGATGTAAAGGCATATTTTCTACCGTATATTAGCAATACTGTAGCACTATTGTGTATATTCAGTGACTTATGTTCATTAGTAAACCGCTCAGTTGTGAATTACACTAGCTGCTCCCTGTAAAACAAATGCACCCTCATGTTGTAGTAAATCATGCCTGACCATTATCAAACTTCATCATCCGACTATGCGCAAAATATTTGGATTCGGTAGCATTGTTACCGATGGAAGAATTATTAAATATAGGTGAAAAGAAAGCTGTTATGGTTAACTAAGGTAAGATAAACCAAAAAGGGAAGATATCTCATGTAATGCAACAAACGTGGACTGCACAATTACTTCTCCAGTGTCTTAGAGTGTTTTGAAATTGTCCGGATCCGTAAATAACTCTCCAGTTTACTCTCTTTGGTATAAGAGTCTTCAAAGTCACCCCTATTGATGATGTTGCTTGTCGAAAGCATTGTCGTGAACGGCAGCTGGTTTTCCAAAGATCAAAAATTGAAAAAAAATAATTTCGTTAGTGTACTTACGATTTCCTAAGCCTTCGCACAAAACAAACAAAACCCCGCAAATTCAATAATTGATTTATGTTATTGATGCTAAAAACGAGGAGCTAGAGAGAAAAGTTTATTTCCTTTACGTCTGTTTTCGTCTGCATGCTTTAAAAAAGCGGTACGGCAAACTTGTCGCTGTTTTTCAAAATAAGCACACTTTAGTATACAATTGGTGGATGGTGGCTAGCAGTGGAATCCAGGATAAAGCGCATTTCGTCCTATTTGGGACTCGTCCGCCAGCTGGATGTACCTGCATTTCTCAGTGAGTGATGACGTTCCCACCGAAGCTCGAACCCAGTATCCATAGTTGCAAACGCCAGAGCTTCGGTGGGAACATCATCACTCACTGAGAAATGCAGGTACATGCAGCTGGCGGACGAGTCCCAAATAGGACGAAATGCGCTTTATCCTGGATTCCACTGCTAGCTACCATCCATCAATTGTTTACTAATTAAATGTCCAGACATCGTCGGAGCATCTGCCTAAGAAGCCGACATGTCAACCTGAGACCGAGCATTTCGGTCCAAACAAATGACGGGAAAATCAAAAACTCAATTCAATAAGCACACTTTAGCTTTAATTAACACCTCACAGGAATCATTATAGAACAGAAATCAGAACAAGTACCATTTTTCGAGGTCACTTGTCACTCTACTGAATGCATTGCATGTAAAAATACTGTTCGCTTCCAAAAAGCAACCTACTGTATATATCAATAAAATTCGGAAATTCATGGTAATTCTTCAACTTACATTCATACTGGGTTTTAACAACTGTGAAGATACAAAAACGTTACTAGTTTCATTCATTGAATTTTATTGACATAATTACGTTGTGAATAATAAAAGGTTTAGATTTTAGATTTATCAAAAATTATAAGGGAGAAAATCCTGTTTGAGACTGGTTCTTGATTTTACTAACAATCACCTTATTGAGGTGTCCATTCCTTCTTTGATATACTAAGCTTGTGTCGGATATATTGAGAAAAGACTGAGACTTGACGTGTCTCTTAGATGTTGATATCACATTAACACTTAAACACAAGAATATTAGGTAGAATAGTCATTGAATCTATTTTGGTTTAATGATACATTCATAAGTACTAACCCAAATCAGTGTAGTCCGCTATTAATAAAAAAGTTTGATAAATACAATGTTTAAGATGAGTCAAAGTTGAAAATCATAAGTTATTAACTACACAGAATAGGAAATTTGTAATACAACCAACGATTCAGTAATTATATTATTCGAGCATAAACGATAGACTTAAATATTCTTTTAGATTTTACCCAAAGTTAAGGTGAAACAGTAGATTATTGATGGGTAGTTTTGAAGAAATGTATCGCACTTTTGACACATTGATTTATTATGTTTCCATAGTGATGATGACATTAGTCTCATGATAATATATAGTGTTTCTGGGAGAACAACGCTTAGATCATTGTGGAATTATTTCCACTGTTAACATTCGTTGATTACTCAGGATAACCGAAGGGCAAGAAGCTGTGACGATTTGATTAAAGTTATTTCTGCTTGCTGTATTTGTAATAGTAGGCCTGCTAACCGAAACCAAATGATTTTTTCGTATTTTCCAGCATCGTTAGATTTCAATACCATAAACCCTGATCATATTTTAATATTCTTTGACAGTTAACTATTCGTTCGTTTAAGAAGACAGTCCAAAACTAAACATCAAATGAAACATCAATGTTTTGTTCTTGTGTTACTGAAATTTAATTTCTTTAACAAAATGAAAACGTCTAAATTCACTGTTTAATTTTGTCTTTCACAAATTAAAGTCTCAGTGTGTTTTGACTTTGAATTGAGAAGTGCATGTACATTTATTATTATTGTTTCCTTGAGTTCCTAGTGGAACATAAGGTTTTAACTGAACATCTCCACTTGCATCTTTTTTTTTGCTGTGCTTTTCACCTGCATCCATGTTAGTCCATACTCTGTCAACTTCTCTTCACACGATCTCCATCATGTCATCATTGAACGTCCAAGTCACCACTTCCCTTTACGGTCGGGTTCCACTCGAGGCCCTACCGCGCCATGTTACCAAGCGGCCTTTTCAGCGAGTGTCCAATCCATCTCCACTTTCGCCTGCATATTTTTTGTTAGGCGATTGGTTCCTGTTTTGTTTGTTCCCATAGTTTCTTGTTGGTGATTCTTTCCGGCCATCTGATCTTCAGTATAAAGCGAAGACAGTAATCGGTAAAGGTCCGCAACAGGCTGCTGGAAATATTCTTTATGACCCACCAAGTTTCTGAACCGTAAAGAAGAACTGAGTTGACATTTGTATTGAAAATGCGAATTTTTTGTTGATGCTGGGTGACCGAGATTTCCAGATTGGTTTCAGGTTAATAAATGTGTTTTTCGCCTTCCTGATTCTGGATTTGACAGCCTCTTACGTTCCTCCTGTAGTTGAGACAATACTCCCTAGATAAGTCATTGAATTGACCTCTTTCCAATCCCCCCGTTGATAGTGATTGACGCTGGATGTTGCTTCTGTTGTTGTTGAATGGTTATTTTCATAACCTTTGTCTTGTCTATGATCACTTGGGGTCCTGTCTTTGCTGCTTTTTCGACGAGTGTGTTGGTTTTCGCTTGTAAGTCTTCGCTTTTGTGTGACATTGAAAATGAATCGTCCACGCGTGAAATACAAGTCCTGTAGGTACTTTACAGCGGTCCAGGATATTCCTGTCTTCTTGTTTTCCACTGTCTGACGCATAATCCGGTCGGTCCATCACAATTATGAATATCATTGATGATAATAAACACCTTTGTCTGACTTCTGTGTTTGCTCCAAACTCCTCGCTGAGTTTTCCGTTGTATATCACTTGATATGTGCCGTTGTCGCTCAGCTGTTGAATAAGGTTGATGAATATTTGGGGTACGCCGTAGTACTCGAGTTGTTTCCAAATTACTTTACTGTCAACGATGTCAAAGGCCTTCTCAAAGTCTGTCAATTTGAGGCAGACGTTTGATTGCCATTCCTTTCATTGTTGGATGATGGTACGTAGAGTTGCAATTCGGTAAGTACATGATTTGCCTTTCCTGAATCCAGCCGGTTCTGGTCGGAGTTCTGTATCCAGTGCATTATTTTTCTCTCGGCATTTTACTTGGCGTTGAATTAAGCATGATTCCTCGCCTGTTCTCGCAGAATCCTAAGTCGCACTTCTTTGGTACTTTCAAGATGTAACCTTTCTTTCAGTGAGGGTGATGAATATTTGGGGTACGTCGTAGTACTCGAGTAATTTTTGAATTACTTCGCGGACAACGCTGTCGATGGCTTTCTCAACGTCTGTCAAGTTGAGATAGAGGTTTGATTGGTATTCCATTCATTGATCGATTATGATGTGTAAAGTTGCGAATCGGTCAAAACATGATTTGCCTCTCCTAAACCCAGCTTGTCTTAGTCGGAGTTCTGTATCTAGTGCGCTTTTTATTCTCTTTAGGATGATGCCACTCAGAATTAGATAACTAATTTCTGAAATTTAATTTTTAACAATATGAAAACATCTAATTCCACTGTTCACTTTAGTCTTTCACAATTTTGAAGTCTGAGTGCTATATGAATTCGGTCTTGAAACGTACGTGAAAATTAGAGAACTTAAATAGGCGATGGTATGGTACAAATCTACGCGAAAGGTAAGTAGCAAATTGAACTTACAGGCTAATTTAAAATTGAAATGGAGTTTTTAAAAGAGTGAAAATTAGTATTTGATAAAAAAAATTTGTTTCATTGAACTAAACTTAGACTGACTGCATAACCAGCAAATCAGGATTTTTCCTGTAGTTTTCATCTTAACTCAACTATAAGGCCCAAAGAAACAGCGTAAATTGAAATGCCTTCAAAAGCGGCAACATAAATGAAAACTTAGGAAAAGTGTTTGCAAAAATGCCGAATTACTGATGGAATCAAACTCTCAAGTTTCAGTGGAATGAAAATGATGCAAATTTAAACATATTCCTATCCAACCAGTGTTACTGTAACTGCCAAAATGAATAATCCTTATTCATCTGCAATTATATCCAACTCACTTAGATCTGCAACGTCTGTGTAGTCCGAAAAGGAAACAGAATATTTCGCTGAAGTTTCAATATCATAGAACCCTTCAAATAAGAAGATTCAATGAACAAACATTACTTCTTACTCGAGCATTATTAATATATCTTGATATTATTCTTAATTTCACACATGATGCTGAGAATAACTAAGAGGTGTATATTTCGTGAGTATTTCTGTGAACCAAGTTAATGTTCTGTGCACGGTCTCTATTTTAATGGCATTTCAATTTCACCATCTAAGTAAACAATCATTACGCTTTGCTTCATTTATCATCAGGTAATTCACACGACACATTATTTTAAATCGCGTTAAAACAAACACACAGAGAGAAAAATCCTCATGAATATCTCCTGTTATATCAGCTGTAGGTTTACTAATTCAGAATGACAATTATCTGCACAATATATATACGAGGTGGACAACAAATAACAAATATTTGTTCGACTTATTTGAAATTAAACGTTCAAGAAGAAATGAAGAACAGAATCACTCACCTATTTTTTCTAATAAAAGTGGAAAACCAGAAATCAAAAGCAGTTTCAGAAGAAACAATCTTCAATGTTTACAGAAATGTTTTGCTAAATCAAACATTCTATTCGCAATATCACATTCTCATAAATGCAGACTGATAGCAATTTCAGTGTGTGTTGAAAGGTAAGCTGACAATCACTCCTCACGGCTTTAAAGATTCAGGTAAATACTACGGAATTTAATAAAACTTGGATAGTGAAATGAACATTTGTCACATGCAGGCCCTGAATAAGAACATTTGAGGGCTCTTAATAAAATGACATTTGTCTCTGTTCACTCGATCTATGATTTATCGACAAAACACATAAACTGGTGACATCTTGACTTTTTTAACTTCAGTCATCTTATAAGGTTCGTCTCACCTACATACGGAACGCCTATTGGTATGAAATGCAGAATCGGAGGGGCAGGGCACACTTTTGTTCTTATAAATTATATTTTCAAAATCATCTGCATTAAGGATCGAGAATAAGGCTCAGACGTTTAACACTCAGGTGAAGTCATTTATTCAATATGTCTCAGAAACTTGGCGTTTGGGCCATGCAGACCATTCCCGACAGGTTGCAGACTTTGATCAACAGCTGCTTCCGCTTACTACAAATTAAGAATCAAATGGCGGGAAACTCTATTCCACCATTATGAATGATCGCAAAAGTAAGAACACGAGTGTGGCTTTGGTCCGCGAATGACATGGAGGTGATGGCTTGTGGAAAAGACGAGAAACTATGGACAGCCAAAGAGGACGGTAGGTAGTACGACAAAGTAGAGAAGTTCTGTAGCCGCTGTATATTATATAATGTGCTTCACGTCACATTGACATGATTAATTACATTAACGGAACTGCGTGTGTTCTCGTTTTTTTGACGACTTGGTCATTTGCGTACCCCTATTAGCAACCTATACCTAAGGAAATAAGTCAGGATGTTCCATGGCACTTGAAAGTTTGAGAAATTATGAGTGACATTACATATACTAGTTTGTAGTCTTCTTATCAACTTATCAGAAAATGTATCCACTTATAATGGGAAATTTACACAGTATCATAGTAGTACTCACTTCCATTTCTCACTTAAATTTCAAATAAAATAAAATTGCTTAACTATTTGTGGACTGTAACGTTCACAACAAAATTTAATATTTTAAGTAGGAGGGGTGCGTTTTCAAGAGTCGATTACCTCAACGAAATATTGAGTACCTTTTGTTACTCAATGCCGCGAGATGATGACTACACATGAATCTCAGAGATGCGTATTTGTTCAAAAGGACATCTTTTTCTCCTTTGATTTCGTTCAAACGGTCTCAAAAAGATTGTAAAAGAAGAGGAAATCTTTTGCTCACAGAAGTATTATACGTTTCCTCCGAGGGATTTTTTCCTTACTCAGTAAATAGTTCAGTCAGCAAACTCCGAACTTGCTATCACGTTTTTTTGTGTTTTTAGAAGTTGTGATGCTCTACTATGTACTGGTAAATACAACTTCAACTGTGCTATTCAAAAACTTAGTCATTAGCTATGTCGTTAGTTAGATATATGCTGTGTGTACAATGAAAACCGATTAATAGAAAATTTGTTTTCATTTCTAAGAGTTTTAATGGTTGGTTTATCCACGTTTCTCCTTACTCATTGTAGTATGGACGTAGTTCTCAGCAGCTTACATCGCAACTGATTCCTTTACTGCATATGTGTGTCAAAGATTTCACAAATAACATTTTGATGTAATGAAAATAATCTTGGTATTCCATTTATGTATTAGGGCACAAAAACAAGACAAACGTGACTGTTTGTCGAATGATTTTTTCAGAGATAACAAGGGGTAAAACGTTATTCATTTTGAGTTCAGAAGATATTTCCATGCGTTCTGGATACAAATTCATTCAAAACCATATTGTCACTCAATATTGAACTCTCAGGTTGTCAAAATTGTACGACGTGTTTGAAATCCACCTATTTTCTATTCCTTAATATCATATTGAGTTGAACTTTTATATGTCGATGCATTCTTCTGACTCTAAACCTGGTTGATACTCGTTTTCCTCTCAAGTTAAGCCGAAAACGCTCAGAATCGCTCAGCAAATCTTAAGAAGAAATATCATTCACATTCATGTAAAAAGCATTTCAGAGTTTGAAACTGTAACGCAGAAGGCTTTATTAGGCACTGTAACAAATGAAACCACGATGTCTTCTACCCACTCACAACAGGTCGTCCATGGTCAGAGTACATGGTAAGTGTGGACTAGACCCATTCATCAGTATCAAAGTATCAAGTAAAACATTCAAACAAGCATCAGGGTGCAGTAAATACCACTGTCAACTGTTCAAACAGCTGTAATGTAGTCATCATGAAAAAAAGAAGTGGAACCTCTTAAATCGATAAGTTACATAAACCAGAGTTATGAGTTCAGCTGAGAAGTAGATTTGTTGAAGGACACAAGCCTATTAAGAAATAAACTGCTCAAGCCTAACACTCTGATGGAATCGGCAGCAATAGATTCACTTCCATCTCTCTAAACATACATTCATTACAGAATGTCCACCTGGAATTATATTTTGAAAAACTTGACAACGAGGCAATGCAGAAAGGTTGAAAACAGTTGTAGATTTTGATAACAATAATCTGATTACGAAGGTTCAAAGCAATGTTTGCATTAAATCTACAAATTCTTGGCAGTTATTTGCTCCATTTTTTGAAGTGACAAAAACGGAGGGTACAAACATTATAGCTCATGTCGAAAGTGAAAATATCTGTCTGTTTTTATCTTCATTCTCGCGAAAACCCTAGGCAGTTACTTGAAAACACTGACAGTGGATTTGTTGATATACACAGCAGTCTTTGTAAGCTACAGTACTCAGTTGAAGTAAATCACACGAAATCTTTGAAACTTACGCGTATAAACTGAAAATGCATTGTGATAACATGATGAGGTAATCACTGAAGTCCACTTTTATATATAAACGGAACGAAAACTTTCAACGAAAAAAATTAATTTTAAGGATCTATTTCTAATAATAAAATCAGTTTGAATAATCTCTGTGAACTACACCCAGAAATGCTTCAATATATCCAAGTGGTATATAATCACATAAAATGTGGGATCTAAGATGAAAAAAACCGATTTCACAGTAATTTCGTCGGTGATTAAGCGATGTGGAAATGCAGTGTAATAATTCCGTACGTAGATTGCACGCTTATATTATTATCAGAGAAACATAATGTAGAAAATCTCTCTCAAAATCAGCTTCTTTCTCAGCAAAACTTTAATCAATAATATATTTTGCACACAGTGGATCAGCAATAGTGTGGCTCAACAAAAAATTAACAGCTGCTCTGGATTGCTTCAGGTGTGTATATCACAGGAAAATGATATAATTGACTATTGAAGTTATACACGTTTTTAGATATACTTTGGTTCAAATAATGAGTTTCCAAAAGACGACATGAGTTTTGCTGTCTTTATACACACGGTTACAAGGGTTTAATTTGTCTTTCTATGAATGACTTTGAGATTTTATTTGATGATCACACTTTGACGACTAGCTTTCAACAGAAGATCTATATGAGCATTATATTTCTGGTAGTTGACTGAATAACTAGAACGTCTTTTATGTGACTTTTATACGTGAAGAACACTTCCAGGATAAACCTTTTCACTGATAATGCGAAAGTGATCATATCAGATTCTCCTAGAACTATGACTCAATAAATAATTAACATATCCGGAACTATAACTCAATAAACACTCTTGAATGCATCTGAACAAGGACTTAATTAACATATTCCTAAAAATAGTATTATTTTTTGGTAGCAAAATAAATTGTCACATTATCTAGATAAGCACATTGAGGGCAAAAGTAGAATCAAGTAGTAAAAGACAAACAAATGTTTTTATCGGTATTTCCATGCTCACGTTACAAAGTTGTTTTCTTAATCTTTCATCGTAGCAGTTTTAATGAAAATTCCTAAATTATCAACATCCTCTTCTGCATGTGACGTTCCTGACAGTGTATGGAAGTCAAACGAAGGCGTTATTCCCTGAAATAAATTTTGTCATGTTTATTACACACTGTCATTGAAGAAAAGGTTACATGACCAGCGAATGGTTTTATGGGCATTAAAAATTCACCGTACGTAAACTTTTCTCAGTTTTGTCGCTGTTTGATACGTCAATGCAAATTAATATTTTATTTTACTTCAGAAATTTACGGTTTTGAACTGTAGAATAAGGTCGAGATAAAAATTCAAGAACTGAGATAGAATAGTCAATTACCGAAAGACTACTGTTTATTAAAAAAGGATTTTCCATGAAAGTGCAAAAATACCTTCAGTACACTTATGCTATCCAGATAATCCGAATTTGTGTGGTCCACAGTAACGATTAAGCTACCTCAATAACAATAATGTTCTGAGAAAATGATCTTCAGAATATTGACTCCGACACCAGACAGTCACAAACTAGTTTCTCAATCAAAAAGAAAGCACTCAGCTTTCAAACGTGTTGTTTTATACTTGCTCTCCGTGATAAGTCCGTACTTTTCATAAAGCGTCCGACTGATAATTGTCCTCAATATATTTTGAAAGTAATGGAATTTCAGTGTTTTACCTAATGCACGTCCCTCTATGGGTAGTCAACTTAATTTAGTTGAAATTCTTTTTTTACACAGACCCTCGGCAAACAGAACAAATAATCAAAATATGTTGAGGGCACAATCTTGTGTTAGAAGGTTACTAAAATATAAGCAATATTTCATTCATCTAGAGATGTGGATTTTCAGTCTCACTATATTTGATCTGTCACAAATAGATAGATGTTATGTCAGCCTCCATTTGAGTGAAGCCACAATGAGAAGAGATGAAAACTCCTTGAGATATTATAAACTTTGCAGTTCTAGGAGTATCAGTTCCAATGACTTATGAAGCGCTAAGATACAGAAAAATTAGGCTTATTAACAGCCCTACTAACCATCGATATATAAATCAGTATAAGAAACAATCATGAAAATGATATTTTGATCACAGGAGTGAAATTTGTCAACAGAATTTACCCATATGAAGACCAGTAATCGCATCGGGTGTATACAAAGAGTTCACGTTCATTTGAAGCGCCAACATGGGATATAAATAATGAATACGTTTTACATAAACACCAACTTTTATGTTTTAAGGGAGAAAACTATTAGAAAATCAGGATTGACGTTGTAAATCATGACCGAAATTAGAAAGAAAAGCTATTTCAATTCAGGGAGCTAGTGAGCTGGATTGTGGAGCTTACGCTGTCCTAACAGACAAAAACCTAAGCGAAGGTTTTAATATTGAATGCGCCTATTATAAATCTCTGTCGTGAATCGTTCTTAATTTACGTCCGTATTAATTATCTGTATTGAGAATTATCAAAAGTGGAGACTAAAAGTAGACACAATGGAAAGACTAGTGATGAAACCAAACAGAATTTCCAAGAGTTAACGTCGATTTTCTTTCTAATCGAATGCTAAGATAAGGTAGAACAGCATTGGGCTTTATGCGAATGTGAATTCATAGTGAATCACAGATACCGTGCTGTGAGGCAAAAAGATACTTGAATGACGAATAACATGTGTTTCATTAGGAATATGATAGTAAAAAAAAGACGAAGTAAAATTAGAGAACAAACGTTCTGCTAGGTGAAGGCGCTACGAAAATGCAAATATATAATTTATTGACTTTCAATTCAATCAAGTAGTATTTGTCTGTAGAGTCAACCGCCTGTCATGTGATAAACGCGTCGACATGCAAAAATGATTCACTTTACTGACCACAATGGGATAATACGTGATGAGCATGAAGAATGATCAGCGCATTAACTGACGAATATCAAGCATTCTATGACATTTAACGTCGTATTAATAGGAGCGATATTTGAAAGAAGGGCTACGCTTGAATTACAATAGTCTCAAGTCATATTTGGAATACACGCCTGAGCAGGAAAACTCTGAAGAACAAAACAAAAATGAATCTTGTTTGTAAAACGACGCTATGATATGCAGAAAATAGCTGTATACAGGAATACGAATAAACAGACATGATTACAATAAAGATTCGAATCGTCACTGCCGATATAACTTGTGGCACCTTCAAATTTCACTGAAAAAATGAGAGCAGGGCACTCGGAATTATGTGAATGACTATTCATAGGGAATCACAGACGAGATATTTGGGAGGGCAAAAGCTGAATGACTAAAATCACGCTTCCAAATATCAGATAAAGAGATCAATTGTAATTACTCAAAATGAACAAGCGAACTTAATTTGTGGTAGAGTATCTATGAGCATGGAAAGAAATAATGTATTGGCTTTTAGTGCAGACAAAGAATATTTGTGCGCAGAAACAATCACTTCCCAGTTGACAATCACGTCAGTCTGTAAAAAGACAATCATTTTACTGACCACACACTGAACAACGTGGTGAGTATGAAAAATGATCGACCCATGAACACACCTATTTTTGAGCTTTCAAGGAGATTTCCGATAGGAGATATATTAAAGTTATATGGAAGTGGTGCTAGGCTTGTATTTTATTCAGTGTTACATCATACACGACATTCAAGCATGACCAACTCAACGCTGGCAAACAAATCGCAAATGTATGTGGTTTGTGAAACGACGTTGTGACATGCAGTGTATGTTTTTTGCCTCGATTACAGTGAACATAATCCTGACTTTGCTTTCATCTGGGTGCCTATTGATGATGGTTTTCACAAATCCTCCTTTGCTTTTCAAATTTAATGTTTTTTTAATTCATTTAATACTGAGAGATGATAACGAGTAAGATCGAGAAATTCATCAAAGCACGAGAGTAATAATCTACACTTTGAAAGTACTGGTGATAAAGATAAACAGGATATTCGAGTGCTGACAGGCCGGATCTCGTCTTTTTTACCTGCGTTATCAATATGGTTGAAGAGTATTGGACGTTGCGCGAAAGTAAATTTACAGGGAATCAAGTATTCCGTGCTATGAAGCAAAAAGATATATGGCTCACGAATAAAATGCCTTGAACTGAGAATATGATATTCAGACTGAAGAAGTAAAATTTGAAAAGCGAACTTACTTCTGGGTGGAGGTGCTATGAGTATAGAAATAGCTAATTCTTTACTTTCAAGTGCTCCAAATTTTATTTCTCCAGAAACAATCGCTTCTCATAAGATAATGTGTATCAAAGAGAAACATACTGATGAATGCTATCTCTGCATGAGATAAACAGTATAAGAAGATTATATTTTTTGAATATATATCCCTGCGGTCTGATTACTATATTGACTTAGTGATAGATCTATTTCATGCATCATGTAATAATAATTTTCCAGTGGGTTCCTAAGGATGAGGAATCTATTTCCTGAGTTCTGCATGCTCTGAAAAAGGGAGGCGCATCACTGAGATATATGCCATATGGTTCTATGGAGTATACTGTTGTCTTTATCAAGTGAACTATATTTTACTCGTAATTACCTGAGAATTCTGATTGTCCTTTGATTAATTATGATTCTGATATATTTTTCTAAATTGTGGTTTGATATGTCATTGCTTATTCCATGTGTTTCTGTAAACAGTCCAATCGCATTCCTGCGTAAAGCAGTCTTAAATGTTAATATTGGTGCAAGAACTTTGATCATGTATACAAATTTCTTGCAAACCTCTTCTGCCTAACGAATACTATGAACATAAAAAATCAAAGCGGTTTACTTTAAACATTCGTAGTCCTCAAAGTGGCTTTCTGTTAACACGTCAATAATGTAGAAACCTTCATTTCGTATATATACATTTCTTTTATCAGTTGTTTTTTTATTAAGTGAAAATTACTTATGGGTTATATCAAAAAGTATACATAAATGGAATAGTTGCAGGTGTGGTTTCATGTATGAGGTAGTCATATTGAAAGACAATGAATTTCATATGTGAAAAGTGAAAATTAGACAACATAATTTTTCAAGTTGAAGATTTTTACCCACCAGTCATCCCTCCATTTGGTTTCTCGGCTGTCTGTAAATCAAAAATGCAAATGTGTGTGCCTTGGTAAATGCGTATACAAACGTCTCTTTACAAATGTTAAATATATTAGCTTTTTATTAGGGACATAAAGTACATGTACTCTTGTTGAGGTAGCCTATTTTGAATTGTAATTCCTACGAACACCTTAATGTGAACTCGGATTTGATACATTGAGAGTGAAATATGAAAAGTTGTCTACTTCAGAGTAAAATAGGTAACAATAAGTTGCACTTCATTTATGTAAATAACTGAAAATATTTCGAAATGTGGACAGTCGTTTAGTAATCGAAGACATTATTGACCATGAAGTTTTATCATAAACTTGTCAATAATTAGAACCTCCTCACAAATTATGTGTCGATGTTCAATGTGTACTGTGATCAACTCACTTAGGGTCAGATTTCCATGATTGTTTTTCGAAACTTAACTCAAAATTTAACTGATGCCTAAATCACACGTATGAGAGAATAAATGTGAAACTATATTGTGTTATGGATTTATACAGTTTCGATTAATTTATTTCTCAAAACGGGTTGTGTACACGGTACAATACTTGACAGTTTAGTATAACCGTGATTCTTTTTCTTTGATTATGTTCTCTGATTTGATTGGCTTCATTTATAAGCTTTACATTTCCCTCTGTAGAAGTACATAACGATTTAAATGATGAGATTACAGAACACAACCTTATGAAAAACATACACCTGAGCTACAAATCATTCGTATTATTATTCATGCAACATTATGTCTTACTCATATGATGATGACGTGGATACATGTTATATAGTTGCGTTTGTTCTGGAAGCTACTTTGTCCACATGACAGAATAAAGTTTGATGGTGAATGTGTTTGTAACATCGAATGACCTTGGCGGCCTGTTTGAATATTTTTGGGCTACCACATTCCATGTACATTTTGCATCTATTTACTCGTATTTTATTGGTATTTACATATCACATTATGCATTCTAATCGTATTATCTACCCTCGGGATTTTATAAAACGTTTTAAACCCAAAAACTTTCATATTTGCAATAAACTCAAGAAAAAGCACCATGGAGGTTGGCAGCGTGCCTTAAAATCTACACCCATACATCACACCACTGTTCCAGTTATCATTAGTACCAACTGCCGGTCCCTGCCTAACAAAATTCTGGATTTTCAGTCTCTGTTGTCTTCTAGTACCTACCACAATACTGGTATTGTCACTCTGCAAGAAACCTGGCTCCATGACTCATACGATGACAATATTGTGTCTCTAAACAATTTCAATGTTTTTCGACAAGACCGTATTTGTTCCAAGAAAAAGTGTGGTGGAGGTGTTGCAACTTTTATTCACTCAAAATGGTCCATTTCAAACAAAGTTTGTTTCAAATTCTCGAATGACTTCATTGATTGCATCACTGTGAGATGTCGCCCGAAACACATTTCAAAATACAAATTCATTTATATTTCTAATGTTTATGTCTCTCCTGGCTGTACCATATTGGATTTATCTATGTTCGCCGATGAATTCACCGCTTTTGCTGCAGCTTGCTTCGAGAACTCTTTATCAATAGTAACTGGCGATTTTAATTCATGCGATCACTCCTTCCTTATATCACTTGGTCATGACAATATTGTCAACTTTGCCACCCGTCTTGGTAAAAAACTGGACCTGGTATTTATCAATGATGTTGGTATATATGAAGCTCGCAAACGTGCTCCTCTACTTAATTCTGACCACTGCATCATACGTGTGCTGCCTAAAATATATTCCAAATCACACAAAGGTGTCCTCTCTCACCTCTACAGTAAAGTTCAACGGAGATGCTACTCAAAAGACAACCTAGACAAGCTCAGATGCATGTTGAAAGACACTAACTGGGACTTATTTACAGAACAAACATTAGATGAAACAATCACAAACACTACTGATTATCTTAAATTCTGTTTCGAAATATGTTGTCCTAAAGAAACATTATTCATCCGATTTGATCGCTTATCTTCGCCATATCTCAAAAAGCTACGTAGAAATAAAGAACTGTTGTTCAAAACTAATGATAAGCCTGGTGTAAAAAAGTTAAACATGCTGATAAAACTGGAAATAAAAAGACTAAGTGTTTTATATAATCAAAGATTTTTGTCATGTAAAACCCCTTCTAATTTATGGAAACTTTTCAAAGAAATTACTAACGGTAAGCGATGTATTTCTGTTCCATCTCTTAATGTTGACACTCTTAATAAATCTTTCATACGCTCTTCTGTTGATACCCTTCCAAATGATACAAATCATATTGACAATAACTTTAGTGGTTTTAATACCCTTGATGTGCTTAAATGTCTCCGGTCTCTTAAGCCTTCTCAAAGCCTTGGTCCTGACGGCATACCTGCCATTGTCCTCAGGAATTGTGCTGATATTTTGTGTTATCCTCTTACTAACATTTTTAATGCCTCTTTTTCCGGTAACGTTCTACCTTTTGCATGGAAAAACATTAAAATTATCCCTATACCAAAACCATCTTCTGGTTCTGATATTAAATTTCGGCCTATTGCAATTACTTCCCCCTTTTTAAAATTGATGGAAAAATTACTTTTACTTCGTCTTGAACCCGCTTTGAAACCTTTTAATGATCCTAAACAATTTGCATACAAACATGGTAGAAGTACCTTGGATGCTGCGGTTGTCTTATATCACAATGTTGTCTCTTGTTTAGACAAAGGTGCTAAATATGTTCGTAGTGCTTTCTTAGACTACACATCTGCTTTTGACTCTGTACCTAGGGGCCTTTTATTAAATAAGCTATCATTGACACAAACAGGATCCTGGGCTAAGAGTTGGTTGCATTCCTATTTTTCTGATAGAATGCAGTATACTGTATATAACGGCAAATCTTCTTCTACCTCGCTTACAAAATCCGGTGTTCCACAAGGTGCTGTCCTCTCTCCTTTTCTTTTTTCTTTCTTCCTACATGACCTGCCTCATTCAAACGAAACTAACTTTGTCAAATATGCAGATGATCTGACTGTATCACTGCCTATCACTTCCGAGTCTGACAGCTCCAAACTTAATAGCTTTCTGTTGGACATCAACAACTGGTCCAAGTCAAATGGTCTTATATTAAATCCTTCCAAATGTCAGGTGCTTGACTTTACTTTCAAGCATCGACGTGACTTACTTGAACTAGTTAACTCTCATGATCCCTGTAGCATAGATGGCACGGAAATTGAAACCAAATCAAGTATTAAATACCTTGGACTAGTTTTTTCCTCTGACCTTTCATGGTCATCCCATATCTTATCTATCTCTAAGAAAATGTTTCGTCTTACCTTCTACATTAAAAAGTTAAGACAATCAGGTATCAACCAACCTTTAGTTTTGCAATTTTTAAACTCCTGTATTTTACCTATTGTACTCTACTGCTCTCCATTAATCTTTCCTGGGCTGCTCAAAAAAGATTATATCATATTACGAAGAGTATTAAATGCTGTGAGTAGAGCTTGTGGTCTGCCACTGCATGAGCTCGCTAATACTATAGTCGAGAGGCATATAAATTCCTGTACGAAATGGGCAAAGGCTATAATGTCAGACCCTCTGCACCCCCTTTATTCACACCTGTCCCCTTGTATCTCATCAGGTAGGACGAGAAGTCAATATAAAAAGATATATGCTCGTACTACTAAGTATAGAAATTCTACAATACCCTATTTAGCGCGTACTTTATGTGACGAAGACTCTGTTAGACGTGAAACTTACAAGTTACTATGTAATTAGCACAGTGAATCGACCCTTTTATCGTTCATCTTTCTGTATTTTATGGTGTTACACTTTCTATCGTTTAAATCGTTACTCTGCTATTTTATATTAGTTGGTATTACTATTATTACTACAATTTTGTACTTTATACATATTTTTCTCCGTATGGCACACAGTATTTTGCTACGTAGCTGCTACAACAATCGTTTTATTACTATTATGTATTGTGTATTTTTAATTTTTTTTGTCGTTTTTGGGTAAATTAGATGCAATATTGTACTGAATGCTGAAAATTCCTTGCTGTATCATGAGTACTGTTTTTGGAATAAAGCAATTATTATTATTATTATTATTAAATAATTGGTCGTTACTCACGAAACTGGTCTAAAGAATTGATGGGGATTTGAAAAATGCTCAATTTCTAGTGGTTTATTTGAGTTTCCGTTTTGATTGCTGCACAGGGTTTTTGTTCCAGAATGGCAAAGTTATTGTCCACAAGCAGGCTTTGACTTTTGCATAAAATCAGAAATGAATGTTTTCTTATCCGGAAACAGTGAGACCTTTGAAATCAAATGCCTGCATCCTGAATATCACTCTCACTGAGAACAAGGATATTCACTCAAATGTATTTTTCCCATATGAAGCTATGTATTCGCAAAGAAACTCACAAAAATGCATCATTGAAGCACCCATTGAGTTACCCTGACTAAACTCCGCCCAGATTAATGGCTTTCCGGTCACAAGACCGAATAAACAGGGAGGGTTGGGGCTTGGTGCTAGAAGCTCCACCCCCGTAAAACAACCAAATCGCTACAGAAACTTCGAAGCGCAAATATATTAGAAATTCTAAAAATATAAACAGTAACCTTATATTTCGCTGAAATCGGGGAAGTGAAATGACGCACGCTGGTGAAAGCCTTCTGGAAGCCGATCAGCCGATGTGCCTTCTTTCGATGAAAGTAAAGATGGGTACCTGGAATGTTTGTACAATGTACGAAAATGGAAAGGCTGCCCAGGTAATGAGGAGAAATGAGGAGATATAGAATAGAAGTGTTGCGAATCTGTTAGAGCAGATGGAACGGACGTGGTAGGTGCCAACTACCAACTAGGGAGACAGTTATCTATTGCGGTCACCCAGGGAACAGCCACGGGCACGCTGAGGGAGTGGCCATCATGATTTCACCAACAGCAACCAAAGCTCTCATGCAGTGTGAACCGATCTCCTCCAGGATAATAAGAGCATTGTTTAATTCAAATGAAAGGAAAGTTGCAGTCATCCAATGATTCATGTTTGATTTTACACGATATTGAAGACCTACAAGCGAAAAGCGACAAACTGGTCGAAGAAGCAACTGGCGAAGACAGGACTCCAAGTGATCATAGACAAGACAAAGGTTATGAAAATAACCATTCAACAACAACAGAAGCAACATCCAGCGTCAATCACTATCAACGGGGGGATTGGAAAGAGGTCAATTCAATGACTTATCTAGGGAGTATTGTCTCAACTACAGGAGGAACGTAAGAGGCTGTCAAATCCAGAATCAGGAAGGCGAAAAACACATTTATTAACCTGAAACCAATCTGGAAATCTCGGTCACCCAGCATCAACAAAAAATTCGCATTTTCAATACAAATGTCAACTCAGTTCTTCTATACGATTCAGAAACTTGGTGGGTCACAAAGAATATTTCCAGCAGCCTGTTGCGGACCTTTACCAATTACTGTCTTCGCTTTATACTGAAGATCAGATGGCCGGAAAGAATCACCAACAAGAAACTATGGGAACAAACAAAACAGGAACCAATCGCCTAACAACAAATATGCAGGCGAAAGTGGAGATGGATTGGACACTCGCTGAGGAGGCCGCCGGGTTACATCGTGCGTCAAAGCATTCACCGAGGGGAACCAGGAAGAGAGGTGGCGAGTAGGACGTCAGTGCAAGGGTGACATGAAGGAGATCGTGTGAAGTGAACTAACATCGATGCAGGCGAAAAGTACAGGAGAAGACAGAAGCAAGTGGAGACGTGCAGTTGAAGCCCTATGTTCCACTAAGAACCTAAGAGAGCAATGAAAACATAATTCCTAAATGCAGGAAATGAATAAAAATACACTTACCACGAAGAATTTGTTGCTGTTATACATGGACAGTAAAATGCACTTAATATTCTGTAAAGACTGTAACCGTTGCATGACTTCTATATCTTGTATGGTGACATATCATTTCATTCTGCTTCACTGTGACCATTATTTAAGCGACTGTAAAGCAGAAAATTAGTGACCTTGTTGGCCCTTTGCATCACATTCACATTCCACTTTTACATTTGCCAGAAACGTCTCTGATCCCATATGAACCTCAGTTTGGTCTACTGAAGCGTTACTGACTTCAATTAATGAGTTCTCAAACAGTCGCCACGAACTTGGCAGCAACATATGGTGAAGCCTTGTGTTTATTCACTGTTTGTCATGGATTTATTCCAGTTATTTCAAAAGATATCGCCAGTGAAATACACGATGGACTGCATCACAAGGTTTACTTAGTCAGCAACTAAATGGCGGGATGTGCAGGATGTACGATCCGTCATACGCAGATCAAGAGCCACCGAAAATGACCGGCGATTATAGTGAGAGGATTATAAGACTTAAGTAGAAGGTGAAGCACTGTGTGCTCGACTTCTACTGAAATATTGATTTCACTTCAAAGTGACGTTAACTTGAGAAGTTTATAGAATCACAGTGTTGAAGAGACTTTTTTGATAAAATATTAGTGTAAAGAGAATCATCTAGGTAAAGATATGAGGAAATCGATTTTATGAAAACGTATTCAGAACAGATGCGTTCACCTTATACCACATGACAACTCACCATGTTTTCAATTTTTCCGCTGTGAAAAATAATTATTCAGAGAATCGCAAATCAGCGTTTACTCACTGTTAGAAAATTCAATTCACCATGATAGACATACTTCTTCTTTCAGTCGGCGCACTGAACATCTGCTAGGGTTAATGCTCCTACCTCACATTTTACAAGTACAGTCCATAAGCGATAAGCTTCTACATTAGGTTGTTCAAACTGCATTCTAAAAAGCTCTTCCTATTCTAGCTGATTTGCTGACTTCGGTATTCAATCGCATAGAAATTACTCGTAATCTCATATCTTGTCCGAAGGTTAAGATGTCCAAACCTGTGAGTCACACTTGTATACATGATAAAATAATCGTGACGTCTTTGAAGAATTTCAATATTTTCAAGTCACAAAGTAAGTGAATACTAATAATTATAACTATAATTACTTCGAAAGTACATCATTTCCAATAACTGCTGCCACAAATTAATTGCTTTTATCGATGAATTACATGTCTTTTTACCTAAACTTTATGACTAGTTTTCAACGTTTCTGATGGTGAATATGATCGGTTCCAGTGACCTACAACTGTGAGACAAACATCTACTTTTTTGAATATTTCATTCAATCAGGGATTTTTACTTGTGCGGCTTCTGGTTATTGCTTTCATTTAACTTAATTCCAAGTGCTTATTTAGCTGGCGTTCATGATTGTTATTTGCGTAGCGAACACGAAGAATGTACAGTGAAACTGTATTTATCTAGAAAATGTTTTGGCTGTGAGAAGAGTATTTTACATCAATATTTTATTCTCTGAAGTGAAGGGTATGCTAACCACACTTTTTGCAGATCTTCAGTGATATTTTTTCTTCGCTAACGTAGCGTTGATTACAGGTTTGTATCATGGAAGAAAACATTCTTCAGTTTGATTCATTTCGATTCATTCATGTTTTTGTGGTGCGAAAATGATATTTAAATTTTGAAATGGTGTTTTTTCACTTACTGTTCAGCAAAAGCTTATACAACTTCATTTCTGCCATGTGAGATTGTGAGGCTCATCATATCAAAGAGGCTCGGTGTTTTGAATATACCGAGATATTTGGACAGTTAAAGATTAGCTTAGAATTTCCACCACCCAGATCACATAAGCATACATATATGCCTAAATACATCTTTACCACACTAACATTTAGGTAATGAACCATATACCATTAAATTTGTTTATTAAGGCATCGAAAGATACAGGCAGACTGGATATTAGTGTTTTATTACTTAGTGCTAAAAATGTAGCTTAATGAGAAAAAAGAACAGCGACGAACAACTGCATTCTTTGTTCATTATTCTCTTGAGCTTTTTAGTAGATAGCCGTTGCAGATGAAGTTGTTAAACTCAACAACAGAAAACGAATAATTTGTAATCCCTGGTCCTGTTTATTTCTGTGAGACTTTAATTTCAGAACCAATCGATAAGTACGTTTAAAATATCTTTTTCTGTTGAATCGGCATATATGTATGTGTATTAAGATAAAGAGCTACATGTCAGAAATTAGGATTAAACTTACGTTTGCCTAGATTATATGTGTATACGCACTATTTTATATACATATGTGAATATACATTTATATTAATAACATCTCAAACTTCAGCAAACATGACGCGCAGTATGTTTCTGGTGTATCAAACAAGGCATGCATATTGAAATTATATTAACTAACCACTTGAAGAGATTACTCAACTTTGCATTGATGTTCCAATACTCAATTATATGTTCATTGACAGCGAAGACTATTCATATTTGGACATATCTGCATCTCGTTCACAATGTTTTTGAGCTGTTCATCATAGGGAAAACAACAACAATTGATTTGAAGCATGTTGAGGAATCTTGTGCTGTTCAAACACAATAAGAACACCACTTCAGCCACTGCGGAACACAGATACGTTCAATCAGAATTCTTGGAACAGAGTATACCTTTGATATACATACATAAACACCAACACTGTCGACCAAATGTTCTTTCTCAAACGATAGCCAATAAATGATTCACAATTGGTAGTTAGCGAACTGTGTTCCAAACAAGATGACTGGAGATTTTGAGTTTTATTTTGAGAGGTGAAGTTTTCATTAGATCAAAATTTATTCACTCCTAACTTTGAAGATGTCAGACCTTTATATAGTCATATCTTTACCTCAAATATATTTTACATATTGGTGTTTAGCAATTGGTTTATGAAAGAAAAGCAATAAATTTAGAGTTGCCAAAATACGAGATACAAATTAGTGAATTTTGATGACAGATTACTGAATAGAATTCCAGTATTTTACTCACTGGCACAGGAACCAGCTAATTGGTATATTGGAATACGTTTAAATCACAAAATTTTGGAAATAAGTGGTATAAACGCCACGGAATCAAGAAAATCATAGTATGAACGTTATATTCGCCGAATTTATCTCATAAAGTGTTCACTGATGAACAAAAACTCAATCAATGAATATACCTTCATAACAAAATTGATAAGTATATTGTCAGCATTCGCAGTCTACTTCGTTTTCTTTTGATTGCTAAAGTGTTGATGAACCTGGGGGAAGCTGTTATTTCCTCAGTTTTGCTGTAACAAAAAATGTTCTCGTAATAACAGCTGTGGAACATGTGAAGTGCACATACAGTCAAATTTAAAAATGTCTTTCTTTACCCGAATGTTTAGGTATTTCTTCCATCATAAGGTTTGCCCTATTTCGCAGGTGTACACACATGTTTTTCACTCTTTTACCTAAAGACGCTTATTTTTGATGTTTTATATGATATACTCGAAATATGACTAGTTGGTGTTGGTGTCAACTTGGAACACTCTCAAAAGCTGACTGATGTTAAAATTATCAGCCGTTTACTGAATAAGCTTCAACATTTATGATGGCTTATGTTGATCCAGGTATTTGGTTTTGATAATGCATTATATATAAACCTGGACATTGTCAAACATCTGAATTGTATTTAGTTGTTGCCGAAGATGGATAATATATGAATATAACATCTTATATGAATAACTAGCCTACTGATTTTCTGAATGTATGGTCAACCTGCAGACAAGCCAATCTTGATCATCTTTTTAAGACTAGTTAGTCCAATTTAAGATAGTTTAGTTCACTAGCAGTGAAATCATCATATTGCTTGTTTATATAATAGGGAGAATGATTTTGCTCTCCATTAATTTTTTTTATTTTTGATTACACACTGTATTTTTCGTACAAGTATGGAATTTGCAGCATGGATATCGGTAGGCCAAATTTTGCGGGCCGATCATAGATATCAGGTGTGCGTCGGAAGGGGATCGAACCCCGGACAATGTGCATGGTCGGTGAGAGTCCTAACCACTGTGCCACCGACACACTGATTTAATAGAGTGTTACAGTCTTGATTAATGTGAGGATATATCCGCCTTAAGGTGTTTAACTGCATTTAAACATAGAATAGAAGTTATTAGGAAATTATGCAGTCAGTGCGAAAAATCCCAGTGCATTTCTTTCCTTAAAATGTCATCGATTTCAATCGGATATCTATGAAATATTCAGTCTAGTGTTCTCCATTGCTCTATGATTCAACAATATTGAAAAAATGTCAGTTCAAGTAAACGAAATCATTTACTCACCACAATCTGCAAGAGGATTGTAAATAGTGAGCCTTTGATCAATTAACTTTGCCAACAGCGCCTTAGTGACCGTAAGTTAATCAGGTTTGACACAATGTTGAAAAAATCAAGATCATTCCCTTTGATACTATATGTGTATCACAAGAATTATTCAGTGTCTGAACAAACATTCCAGATGTAATAATTTAGAAGGGAGGATACGTTGTAAATACACAGTGTAGCAGATTTATATAAACTGAGATGCATATGTAGGAGTATATATTATTTCGCACTTTGCAGTCAAATGCATTATGCCAAGAACAGTGCACATGTGCATCCTATGAAAAAGGAGACGCGATGCATTTAAGCCTAAAATCCGTATAGCGAGAAAGCATCTGAAATCAAACATGCTGCGAATGTACTGCATGTTATATTTATATATTTTTACATTTCATTACAGCTTACAGTTTTTCACAGCATGTGGTATTGGCAGCACAAATCTAGCAGGCGTTGATCGGGGATCGAACCCCCTGACCATATGCATCGTCGGCGGACATCCCAACTACTGCGCCAATGATGTAAGCAGTTAAGTCTCAGTATTTGTGAATTTCTTGATGAGTGTAGGAATATTCAAAACATCAAAAAAAAATATTCATATCTGGGATATATTTACACCTTGAATTAAAGGGGACTTACAGTTATCTAGAATAAACACATTCGTTCTCCGCAGTTAGAGTATATCTCCTCTGAAATGAAAGATATTTCTCCGAACCTTTTCCACACAGCCTGCATTTGTACAGCATTGAGAAATGATTTTTGACAATAAGGTTATACAAGAGTATGTAAAATTGCTGTGCTTTTAAATATACCACATTACTTCAATAATATTTGAAGGTAATAACCTAACTTATTTTATGCTGTTACTTCGAGTAAAATTCCGAGCGCGTTATATATCCACAATTCTTTTATAATTCAAACCTAGTCCGAATCAATTTCTATACGGGAACGGTACAACGTGGTTTCATTCTCAATCTTTTTTCTACAACTTTCTCAAAACATTTTTATACCAAAAAATAACCTTCGCTATGAAAAGATGGAAAAATATCTTCAGTGCATCTAATGATAATATGCAACTCACAATAAGAAACTGATTTTCAACAAAATATGATACACGGTAATCTTTCGTTGATGAGAATATTTTTTCATAAGGAACGTTCATCAAATACGTTAAACAGGTACAATGTGATAGATTTTAATTGCATATTAATTTTTTTCACTGAAAATACTACATTGTGCAACAATCTTTTTTTCTCGGTCGATGTGGGAAACATGATTCGCGTTGCATAAAGCATCCTGCCACGATTTTAAAGTCATTATTTGTATAGTGACTGAAAATGGTAACTATTACCATAAGATTTCTGAAGAGACCTTAAATGCGGATATTATTCATTGAAGGTTTCTTGCCCCCTACGTCTTGTGATAACGTTGTTCTGTGAAGCATCCAAGTCCTCAAAAATTTACTAAGCAATTCTGCCAGAGGAGAAATATCCTAGAATGATTGACTGTGTCTGTTTCCATGCTATTATGAGGCCGCAGAAATCAGGAGGTTGAAAAATCCCGAATCTTGATAGAAGAACAACTATTCAATGTTACGTTATGTAAATTAAAAGTTGTCATTACCATTTATGTAGAGACCGAAGTTTTGTACTCAACTGGACTGTAACAGTTCATGCATTAGGTGTGAATATTTACTTCTTCTCCATACATTATGCTTCACAGACTGACATGATAATAATAATTAAGCCTCTGTAAATTTTTCATCTGAGTAGGTGCTGTGCTGGGTTAGAGTTCACGAATGATGTGATATTCCCTGAAAAGGTCTCATGCTCAGAATTGCCCTCACCGATGTAACAAAAGTGATTCAGCTGATGAGACGTGTGTAGTCAAGTTTTGTACTTCAAAGAATGCTAATTCAGAAGTTGATGGATAATGAATGTTAAGTTTGTTAACAGGAGACAATTATAAGACAATATTCATGCGTACGTACATAATAACCCTAAAGTGGCTGCATTGAGCACGTTCATATAAATCAAGAATTCTCGGAACAGTTTCTGAGGCATATACCTGACAAGTATTAGATGTGGTTAACTCACCAAATATAACTAGATGGTTTTTAAATAGAAAAATTAGGAGTTTATTAAGGTTTATAGTATATATCAGATTTCTTACAATCATCATGATGACTGCAATTACTTAGACCTGGATAAAACGATAACCACAATGGAGAGCTCGCATTAGTAATGTACAGTGTTACGTAACAGCTTCGTTGCAGAAGGCAGGTTGAACACATGCAAAAATATTTCGTAAGCAAGTCACCTCCTCCATGTCACCCTTGCGCTGACGTCCCGCTCACCGCTTCACTTTCTCCTGCATATTTTTTGACGGATTGATTCTTCTTTCGTTTGTTCCCATAGTTTGGCTGGTTGTTGGTGGTTATTTCCGGCGCAACCATCTGATCTTCAGTATGGAGCGAAGACAGTTGTTAGCTGATAAGAGTCTCTAACAGGCTGTTGGAAATATTCTTTGTGACCCGCCTGCCACGTTTCTGATCCATATGGAAGAGCTGAATGACTTGGCGTTTGTATTGAAAATCCGACCGAATGTTGTTGTTGATGCTGAGTGATGAAGATTTCAAGATTGGTTTCACGTTTATGTGTTTCTCGCCTTCCCGATTCCCAATTTGACGTGCCTGTCCGTTCCAACTTTATGTATATAAGACAATGCTCCCTAGATAAGTGAATGAAGTAACCTCTTTGAATCCCCCCATTAAATGTGATTGGCGATGGATATTGCTGCTGTTGTTGTTAGTTGGTTATTTTCATAACTTCCGTCATGTCATTGTTCACCTTAAGTTCTGTCTTTGCTGCTTCTTCGAAAAGCTTGTAAGTCTTCGCTTTTATGTGACATCAAGTATAAATCATCCCCAAAATTCAGGTCTTCTAGGTTCTTCACGCCAGTCAAGGATATCCGTGTCTTCTCGTTTCCCACTCACTGTCTGACGCATAATCCATTCAGGCATAATAAGGAATATCATTGATGATAATAAGCACCCTCGTCTGTCTCCTGTGTTTACTACAAAAGCCTCGCTAAGTTTTTCGTTGTGGATCGCTTAACATGTGCCGTTGTCGTACAGCTGTTGAATAAGGTTGATGAATATTTGGGGTACGCCGTAGTACTCGATTAGTTTTCAAATTACTTCGCGGTCAACGCTGTCGAAGGCCTTCTCAATGTCTATAAAGCTGAGGTAGAGGTTTGATTGCCATTCCATGCTTTGTTTTGTGATGATTATGCGTGGAGTTGCAATTTGTTCAGAACATGATTTGCCTTCGCTGAATCCAGCTTCCCGTGGTCGGAGTTCTGTATCCAGTGCGCCCTTTATTCTTTCCAGGATGATGTGACTCAGAATTTCCCCCGGCGTAGACATGAGCATGACTCCGCACTTGTTGTTGCAGAGTCTTTAGTCGCCCTTCTTTGGTAGTTTTACGAGGTTACCTTTACTCCAGTCAGTGGTCACATTTCCCCTCTTACAGACCTCGTGTAATAATGTGCCCAGCATTTCTGCTGTCGTCCCTGGGTCTGCTTTCAGTGCTTCATGGGTTTTCAATCTGGTTCAGCTACTTTCCTAGCTTTCAGAAGCTTGATTGTAATCAAGACT